AAGTAAGTATTTATATTTGTGTACAAGCTGTTTAGATTGTCAAAAAGCCTGTGTTTTTATGGTTATTAACGAAGTTCATGTACTCAGACCAGTAATATTTGGGGTCACAAGTTTTTGCCATGGGTATTTTGTGGGTCAGAAGACAAAAAGTTTGGGAACCACTGATTTAGAGAAACAAAAGTTAGAAGCATCACGTAAAACAAACACATAATTTATTGATCGGCATTATTGAATTGGAAAAATAAAAATCTAAAATTTTGTTTGGGAGAAAAACAATATAAAAGTTAAAAACCTTGGCCTCTACTTTTCTGTTAAAGAAAAAGCAAGGTAGCAATATACAAACTGGTCAAATGTTTTTATTTATGCTATATTTAATTGAAATGCAAGTGTTTATTATAGTAAAGTAAAATGCTGGTTATAATAATGTTGATCTTCCTTTGACCTCACTGGTAAAAACAAACAAAAATGAAGTAGTTTTTATGTGTTTTATATGTAGGCTATAAGTTATTTTTATTCCTACCTCATGACCGTGAAAAACTATCGTGATAYTAAAAGTTTCAGAACCTGCAGTGAGCGGAAATCCAATTAAAGGCCGTCGACCGGAAGTTGGAAGCTGCTCACCTTTGCCGCCGGTCCGGTCCACTCTCCAATCAGCAGCAGAGGCCCAGCTGTCTTTATTAGTGTCGTCGGTTCGGYGGAGGCGGCATGGCTCCTCTCTCCGCTGCAGGCCTCCGCACACACCCGTGGGTAAGTAGCTGCAGCGGCCCGGACCCAGGACTCTACCTCCGGCTGCGACCATGGCCAGGACTGGGTTCTGCGACTCCAAGCCCCTGCTGGACTTACACATGAAGGTGAGCTCTGTCCGAGCCCCGAACCGAGRCCTGACTCATCATCGTGTCATGCAATTAAAACAAATGAACTCATCAGTCGGTTTGAGTCCTGATAGTGTGATAATATTATAAATGAGTGCTCTGAACACTGAATCACCTCCTGTTTCATCAAACAGACCTGTTTGTGTTGAGGACATTGAACGCATCATCCTTCTCCAGGTGTTTCCTGATTAGAGGCCTGAGCGCATTCAAACCCGCTGCTCACACTCTGCTGTCATTAACACAGTTAAAGCTTTAAACAAGTACATTTGTCTCAACCTTATTAAAATATACTTAGCTTACTCAAACATTAATTCTTTTGTACTGATAAAGTTTTAGTTTGCACTACAAAAAATTTATATATAAATATTAMTGTGTGTGGTCGGTCCTTGGAATTTAAATGGTACAGAAGAGACTGGAAGGAGCAGATGAGCTGCAGCAGTGTATACAATATTTTACTGAGGGATACTTGTAGGCTGTAATCGTAGACATGATGTCATGTTTACATGATCAGCTTGAGGTCTCTGAAAAGCAAACTGAACTAGACATGGGTTTTTACGATGTAAAAACAAGTGTGCATTGCCATGTAGCATGTCATTGCAGCATGGATTTATTTGCAGAATGAAATGGGACCAAGTTCAAATGTGTTTGCAAAACCAGCTTGTGGTTGTCACATCAGCAGGTGTTTGTAATTAAGGTA